CTCAGGAACCGCCCCCCAACAATAAAGGCAGAATGAGCAAATATAAAGATCCTGCAAATATGTGATCCCAAATGGTCGAACATGAAATTATAAGTCACACCTTATTAGACAAGTTTCAACAATAAGTGGAATGATATATCCGTCCCCCCAGATGCCAAAGAACTAGCTTATCTTGAGGACCAAAGAAGTGAGATCAGGTTAAAAGCAGGTTAATAATTATAGGATCTAGCGTCAATTTATTGTTCATAATCCAAAAGACGAAGGGAACAGTGGTGTCTTACCAAAGCCCCCACAACAAGAGAATCACGTGTTACAATAGCAAAAGATTTAATATGTCTGCCCGGCTCAACCCAAACTCCGCATGCTCTCAGCAGAAAACAAAAGAAACCACAAAGAGAATCAAAAATAGCCGAAACAGCAGATCTAAGGCTCATATCCCCCAGAAACAAGAGGAAGGAACGACAAAGGACAACCTGCAGGAATTACAACCTAATCAACCGAGGTAGAGGATAGCTCCCCCCCCTAATTGTCAAACCTAATGAGCAAACTAACCCCTATCAAGAGGTACCATAAGAGTAAAAAGCCACGTACATCAATAATAACGACTAACACTGACTGAAGAGCCTACAAAACCAGAAGATAAGAAAGATAGCCAGGATAACAACCACAATATCCCTGGACTAAAGGACGACAGCAATTACACAACTACTTTCCCAAGTCGCCGAATCTAACTAAGGAGCAAGCCACCAGATAATATCGAAGAATAATCCCTACTCAACAAAAGAATCAACAATTATAGTCTGTAGCAAACACAAGATTGAGTAATTCAAATAGCCCAAATAAACCAAGAAAAGGAAGGACCAAAAACACAGACCACCAAAACCTCCCCAAGTGTCGAGAGCACCGTAGTGCAACGGAGCATCGTCACACCAGGGAAATGTCAGAAAGATGACAAAGTCATGCGAAACTATCAAAGAGGAAAAATACAACCGGAGCGATGAACGAACAGCCTCAACAAAATATTCATCTTGCAGTAGAACAGATAAGGAAACACAGGTGGATCCGGGAATTACCTCACGATCCACAACTCCGCCTTAAGTCTCCAGCCGTTCGAGGAAAAGCCATCCAGGAAGTTATAGAGGAAAACAAGCCCAATCATTTCACTGAAAGTTCCAGTACAAGAAAGGTGGCATAACAAACAAATCAAAACAAAGACAAGATTATGTACTATCAAGGACTGCTTCAGGCAAGAAACAAACCATGCTCGTTCTAGATCATCACGAGAACAGAAGACGGGTCAAATCTCCGAAACCATGCAAACGACGCAAGAGAAGAAAAAGAAACGAAAGACAAGCCAAAAGTTTAAAAAAACTGAGTAAGTATCTTCAACCCCCACACCCGCCCCAAGTGAGCAGGGGTAGGATTTTCTGGATAAGGAAAAGGTGAAAAAGTTCGAAGAAATTCTAAGACCTCGTCCAACAGAACCAAGATCCCCCAGGCCGGCCTTAAAAAAGGGTCTCAACATCTAGTCAATAAAAAAGTCTCAAATACTTTTCTCCAGCACCCAAAAGGAAGAGTGAACACCGAACCCCCTCGACCTCAGAAAACTAAGAACACCCAGATGAAGCAGGCCCAGGGGAAACATCCCAGAAGGAAACCACCGAAGCCTGGAAACCACTAACAGAAAATCCAAATCAACATGTCTAGAAGACAACCCCCACAATAGAAGGAAGGACCCGAGCTAATGTCAGTCTAGGCAGCGATGACTTATCGAACAGAACTCAGGTGCTCCTCCTGAGCCCTGTCTCAATGGAGTACTTCAGAAGTCTCCTTATCTCTCCTCCCATAACCAAGCCATAATAAGCCGCAGAAGTAAAAAGGAGAAGAGACCAACCCCCACCCTCATGAGAAGGAGGTCCAGAGCGGGCCTTAAATGTTAAGCGAAACTAGGCATTATAAATCTCCCCCTGTGTGTAAACCAAGCCTGAAACAACAAGCTAGACTAGACTCTCCCCAGGCATGATAAATAACTTGCAAGGCCATGAAGGATAAGATCCAAAACTAAGATGAACCGATAGAATTCCAGTCAAACAAAAGGAACGGAAGCTTCAATCTCCAAATAAAATAACATCCCAGGCTAGATCCCGGTAGATTTAAATACAAGAGAAACCCAACTCCCTTAGAAGCAACTAATGAAGAAAAGACTAAGAGGCGGATGATGGACTCCCCCAAACCCAACTCAGTCCGAAGGAGGGGACCAAGTCAGGATCACCACACCTGAATCCAAGACAAAAGATGATTAAATAAAACCCTAAAGGGAACCCCTTACTCAAGAAGCCGAGGAGATAGCTTCCCTCATCATGACAAGCCACGAACTAAGGTTGCCTAAGACAAATACCCACCACTCAAGAACAAATACGTCTAGCGATTCGGAGTAAGATAGCGATGAAACCCAAAATAAATCCCAAGCAGGACAGATCCAGGGAGAGTATTCAGAGTAGTAAATAGAGGCGAAGCCGAAAGTATCTAACTGGAGCTTAAGTCGTTAGAGAAATTAACACAAAAGAATACATCACTCACGAATTAAATCCAATCCGGACAGGAGCCCAAGGACGACACACCAGGCCACTAAGTCTGATTCGCCTAAAGAACCCAAGAAGCAACAACTGCAGGATTTCTCATCTCCTGAAAATCAGGCTGGAAGCCCAGATAGGCCATAACAACTGGAGCCTTAGAATCTGACGACACATGTGGGAAGGCGGCTCCACTCCACGCAGACAAAACAGGCGCCCCAACTCCCACCCGAAGACGAAGAATCTCCAACTCTTCTATAAATATCCGTCCCAAGCCTCAAAAATATAACTAAGTCCCCCCCTCTCTATCACCAGGTGACAGATAAAATAGAAATCCCCCCCAAACCCCAAGGACTCCAAAACCCCCCCTCATGCAGGTACAAGAGGAGGAGACAAAAGTTAAAGAAGATAAAGGATCCCGGGAGGATCACGTCGACAAATAGGGCCCATAGAAAACTGAAATTACGTGAAGTCTAGCCAGTCAAGAGAAGGAAGGGGCTGAGGCAGGTATGTAAATTATAGCCCCCCCAAGGGGCCACTTAATAGAAGGAGCGTCCTCAGGCCCAGCACCAAAGGAAACGAAGAAATGTCAAGAATCTATAAGAACGCAGTCACTTCACGGCTAAATCCAAGGAGAAGCAGTCGGAAAAAAAAGAAGCGGATGACAAAACACCAACTCTCTTAAAGGATCGAGCGGACGAAGGAGGACAACAGAACAGGAAACTACTCAACAGTCACTGAAGGATAGAACAGCTAAAGAACCCCAAAGGGGACTATCCTTCACTCCTTCCAGACGGGAAAGAAGTCGATTCACCTCCACAGGAAAATTTCGATCCCTCCCCATCTAACGATACAAGAGGATTAGGCAAACTTTAGAGATATCATTTAGAGGACTCCATATGATTCGACTCAGAATTCCCACCCGCCTCAGGGTCCTCTATGATAAGACGGGACTTAAGAGCTCGAGGGAGATTTTCGCTAGAGGTCATTCGAGGCCGAAGCAAGGAATGCCCCCAACCAACCCCCCCCTCCATAGGTAGAGGGACCTTTAATGAATAGGGGGTAAAAATACAAATTATTCCAAATCCATATTAGGGGGAGCAGAGGAAACGAGCAGATAATGGAGGGGTCAATCATCAAAAATCATCCGATGCACGGGCAACTCAGATCTCTTCAGGAGGGGCAGGATTCTCCTTCCTGGAAGCCCCTAACTGGCGGGCGGCGGTAGAATCCAAGCAACAGTTTATAGAAAGAAGACCGGATCATAAGAAGGAATCCCGAGTAGGATTGGAGGAAGTAAAGGATGGACCAAAGGAATAAGGCTCCTGACAAGTGAGAACGGGGACCTCATAACAAAGAACATATGAGACAACAAAATTCGAGAAGGTCTTCCCCGGAAATCAGATACCGGGCTTCCTCAAGAGGTTCCCGGCTAAAGAGTAAAGGACTCTCGACCAGATGAGCACAAGAAGCCCAATAAATGCCAGCAGAGGAGTATTTAATCGAACCAGACGAAGGAGGTGGAGAAGTAGGCAGATGGGAGCCCCAAAGTCTCACGAGCGTAAAGGAAGGATAAGTTGAGAGATCAAAGAAATAGAGAGCCGGAGGAAAGTGTGTTCTTGGTTTAAAGGAACGAGCCAAATCGAAATATCCGGGGGAAAGGACGAGATGCCAGGATAGACAAGAGAGATAAGGTAAACCGACAGGGACCACTAGGACAGGACAGGAAGGGGCGGAAGGGTTCATTAGAGGTCAGGATGGCCGGAAGGCAATAGAGGGTGGAGACCAATCCGAGTAGACCTGATCTGACGGAAGGATCGAGGGACAACAACGGCCGGACCATCTGAGACCTGACGGCAAGCTCCAGCAGCGACTGAAACCCACCACGAACCACCCCCACTGGGACGACCCGAAGGTCGAGTAATCATGATCCAGAGGGAGATGTTAGGACCTCAACAAAACTCCGATACCAAAGCAGGCCGAGAGCAAAAATCAAAGGGAGAGACAGAATCTAGATTTCGGATCAGGAAGATAAGGGGCTCTAGAAGAATAAGAACGGGACAGCCCCAGCGAAGCCATTGATATCAGGAGGGACGCGTCAGATCCAGGACGGGGGTTATGAGAAGAAGGAAGGGTCTAGTAGACGTGGCCGAAGAGCATCAGAAAGTAAAGAGGGGCCCCGGAGTTAGGATCTCTTAAGCTTTAGTAGCGAGCACAAGAAATTCCAAAAGTGAGGGTTAGGTATCAGATTAGAACATAGGCCCTCCTAAGGAGCAAGAGGAATAACAAAAGCCAGCCTAGACCACGAAGGAAGGGATCAGGACACCGCCCACCGACCGTTAATCAACAAACCCAAAGGAAGCCTCAGAGCACCGGCCAGGATAAGTCAACACGTCTCCAGGACTGATGCAGGAGTAGTAGTGGAACATGTCAAGTAAACTCTGCAAATGGAAGGACAATGTATGGTTAGGACTCACGTCCGGGGATCTGGACAGCTTCTGCGGAAAAGGGGAGCAGGGAATCCCCACTTTAGACGAGAAGTACATGGACAGCACGACTGTATGGATAGCATGGTTAGATAACTACATGAACGAGCCCGAAGCAGCCGGGTTGAAGGCGCTTTATGAGAGACTAAGAAAGGAGAGAGTCATAGACAGCTGCGGAGAGGTAGACAAGTCAATAAAGAACAGGACATGGGAAAACTTAATCGTAAAAATTCTCGAGAATATGAAGGACATCGCTAAAATAAAGTCTAGCGATGAGGGACTCAGAGGGGGGGAGGGGAAGAATCAAGGACAGGAAGGATATAGGTGGAGAGATATACTCAAGAGGAAAATCTGCCCAACAACCGATAAATCTAAAATGTGGATGGGAGCAATAAGTTGCCTGATACACATATGGGAGGGGAAAATCCCAGGCACCGAGGATAAGTACCGAAGACTACCAGACGAATGTGAGGGGATTTTAAGGAAGATGAAAGTGCGAGAGTCAGACTGGCAGAATAGGGTAAATGCGAACTGTCATTCAAGCGAGGATTACAGAAAATCAAATAGTGGATTGGCAACCCCAACCCCCGAAGACGAAGGAAAAGTCAGTCTGATATTAAGTCTATATGGGAGTCTAACGACATTATGTACCACGTGTGGCCCGTATGACTTAAGCAACTGGCTAGGAGCCCAGACGCAAGCCAGTTCCTTCCCAAGCAGCTTATACTGTGCCTTGAGGGGAGATGAATTAGAATGTAAAGATAGTCCGGAGCAGTTAAAGGGACGGGGACGATATATATTGTATAGAACAAGATCAAAACTCCGCTTTGCATCAGGACCAACTAGCCCCTGCCTCATGAGTTCCCAGAGGACGCCCCAAAAAGCAAGTACAAGTCAACACTCACCCGGCCCCAAGAACCAAGAAAATGTCGGAGAGTCACTAAAGTTCCCACCTATAATTTCAAGCCTCCCCCAGGAGGCTCAGAATGAGCATGTCCCCCAGACCCTCAGCGGCCTGTCCAGGACAGGCGCCACGGAACTAAAAGACACAGGCCAAAGTAACCTTCAGGGACCAAAAGGGGAAGATATCGAAGGGCACCAACCACAAGGAAAAGTCTCTGCGCCAAATCCCCCCAATGAGGGTCACCAGGGACCCGACGGCAGCGGAGGAGCAACCTCGAGTCGAGTCTCCCCCCCGAAGGGACAAAAGCATAAACCTCCTCCCTCAGAAGTTTTAAGGAAACAGACTGTACCAGAGGCCAACAGCAGCGAGGGTGTAATAGGAGGCATTATTACGAGCATCATTTTAGGGGCTTTGGCAGTATATGGCGCATGGAGGATAAGGAAGGGAGCCCAGGATAGTCCCCCTGTAGGGACCTTAGCTCAAAGAATCATGGTAGGATATTTGACATTAGAGGAATCTGTATAGCGCCCCACTCGCTAATTTCCCGAGAGAGGAGCAAGTCCGCGAAGATACATTAGCTAGTTGAAAGCAACTACACCCAGGACGAGAGATACAAACAACAAGTGAGGCAGCCGGAACAAGCATTTCGGAGACTAAGACGAAAATCTAGCGGCAACCAGTCTTCCCAAGCTAAGACTGAACAACACCCGTGGCCTCATGGTGGTCTGATCCGAGATGCTCCATCCTAGGGAACTGAGTAGCTGTTGAAGCATGTACCGTTTGATTCAGTTGTTTGTAGCCGAATTTGGCAGGATTAGCGGCCTCTTAGGGGGGTTTAACCCTCAAGTCTGGTTCAGACCCTTGGGTGAGAGAAGGGCCCTGATATCGCCATTGGGTAGTAGATGGGGCTTTTCAGTTTGGTTGGGGGTTTCGGTGTAGTGTTCATGTTGAGTATCGCGTCTGGAAGTTCTAAGCGTCAAGATTAAGGTTTTGAGAGTTTTGGTTAAGGATTAAAGATTCGGGGTCAGCTAAAGGTTTCAGAGGTCGAGGTTTCGGCGTGTGTGGCTTAGGGGTTAGGATTAAGGGTTAAGGGCTAAGGTTTAGGTTTTGGGGTTTAGTGTTCGGGTTACTGTTAGCTCTAGGGTTCAAGGTTTAGGGTCCAGGTGTTAGGTTTAGAGGGGTCAGGGTTTAGTTTTAGGCTTAGGGTTCAGGCTTCAGGTTCTAGGGGTAGGTTTCATGGTCTACGGCCCAGTTTTCAAGGATCAGGGTTCAGGGTCTAGGGTTAGGTTCAGGGTTTAGGGTTTACCGTTCAGGTGTTAGGGTTCAGGTTTTAGTGCCGAGGGTTCAGGGTTTATCTTTTCAGGTTTAGTGTTCAGGTTTAGGATTCATGGTTCAGGTTTTAGGTTTATGGTTCTGGGAGCAGTGGTTAGTTCCTTTCGTTCAGGGGTTACGGGTCATGGATCAGGTCTGAGTTTTTACGTTTCAGGGGGGTGGGCTCAGGGGGTATGGACCAGGGTTCACGGTTAGGGGTTATGGTTCAGGTTTATTGTTCACTCTTTAGTGTTTGGTTTATTGTTATTGTTCAGGGGTCTTGGCTTAGGGATCAGTGCTCAGGGTTTAGCTTTAGTTTTTAGGGTTTATGCTTTAGGTTTCAGGGGGTATGGGTCAGGGCGTATGGATTAGACCTTAGTTCTTTGGGCTCAGGGGGTTGGGTTAGGGTTCAGGGATCAGGGGTTACTTTTAGGGGTCACCTTGTGGGGGGGGGGAATAGGGGGTATGCGTGATGGGGTGTTCTCCAGTGCCTAGGTATCTGGTTTAGCCTGTAGTTTCCTAGTGTGTAGTCCTTATTTCTATGGCCTATGGTCCATGCTTTATTTTTTAGGGGTCAAGGCTTAGTGGACAGGCATCATGCCTTAGGGCTTGGCCTTTAGGTTTTTGCCGTATTCTTCACGGTTCAGTGGTCACATCTAATACTCTAGTTCTGAGGGCTTACGACTGAGGGTAGGAGATTTATGTTGTCCTTTTCAATCCTTAGTATTAGGATTTAGGCTTCAGATTTTTGTGAGTATTCGGCGATGCCTGACGCTTCAAGGCTCCTAATTTTTTCTTCGTGGGTTGCTGACCCTCGGGAGTCCTGTTATTTTTATTATTTTGTGACGCATCTTCCTATTTTTATCCTCAATCCTCTATTTCCTGTGGCTGATGTCTTATGATTTATGATTTCGGGACGTCCTGGACTCTTTATTCGTCATAGCCGATTCTTTGATTTTGTCATCGGTTGGGGGTTGTTACTTTTAGAGCTTATTCTCCATGATTTCTTATTCCTGGGGAGGTGCTGTTAGGTTAAACCATTTTCCCTCTCCCTTGAGTTTCAAGTCTTGTTGTTACTTCCTTTAGTCTAAGTTGCACATCTCACCCATTATTGGTTAGGGAGCATCATCCATCAGGAGATTGTGACTCTTTGGCTCTGATTGTTATTCTTGGGTGAATCCCTCCTGGTTCTTAAGACTTAGTGGCTTTTTCCCTGCGTGGGGACTCATATCTGATTTTGTCTGCTGCACGTGTATTCTTTCTGGGAGGGGACCCACTACCGTTATGCTTCATACGATTATTTTTGACCCGCTACTGTTGCCTGATTATTTCTCATCTACGACTCAGAAACCTGGGTAGTCCTGGAATTTTATTGCCTCGACTTTTTCGCCGATGCAGGGATCAACTAAAAAATAACTACACATACCGAAATCTATCGAGCAGCTAAAGGTACTTACAGACTCCATAGGCCCGTGAAGGAAGAAGAACTTAGGGATGGTTTAAGAGAATCATTGCAAGCGATTCTTATTCTGCGACATAGTATTTGTAATCGTCTACGAAAAAAAGAAGAAAGAAAAGAAAAACACAAGGGCCTTATATTTCCTGCAGAAAAATCTTCGTAATCAGGATACTTGATCTACACTCCCAAGGGAATACAACCATATATATCTTCTTCTTTAGAAAACTTCTGGCTTAGGTATTGGATGTTACTACACCTGTTGTTGATCATGGTTGTGACCTGCTCTGGTATGTCAATATTTCTTTTATTTAACAGGGTTATTTGCTGAACTTTTAGGAACCAGTAAAACTTCGCGTCCTTCAACGAATTATTATTTACAAATATCATAATAGGCCTTCAATATGGAGAAGAATTCTGGTGTCTTCTTCTCCTGGGAGCTCAGAGTTCTTGTGGTATAAAATGAGGGTCATCATCTATCATTAAATGTTTGTACCTAATAATGTATACATAAGGTGAAGAAGAATATCCTACAGGATTATTTCATACGAACAAGAATTTTAGGGAGGGAGGTTGTTGAATCTGGTAAGAAAATATCTTCGCTGCAGATACATGAGTACTGCACTGTTTCCTTTTCTAGGGGTCCCCTCTATATAACGGTATAGATATTATATATATTTATCTATATACGAAACCCCCTCACCCTCCTAATTCTTTTCCATGGAGAGCAATTCACCTGTGACATGGATTGCTTCCAAGACGACCCCACTACATCCCCTGTTGTGGATTTTTTTTTTATTCAGGGAGGGGATAGTTATTTTATTTGCCCCGTTTGATAATTGTGGATCCATGAATCCACTTGTTAATTCTTGTACATAATATAAAGGCCACATAGATCCTATCAGGAGATTGTTATACACATCATAATAATAAGGCTCGGGCATCTAACAAATGCTTAGGCTTAAGAGAAATGAAGGGTCTAAATAAACGATGATTCTATCCCTTCGATTTTTTGGGTGCTGCAAAGAAAATAGAAAACATATATACGGCCTAGATAGGCAGCATTAACAGATAAATACCAATCTATTGTAGTAACTAATGCATCCTTGAGGAAGACACACAGGGAATATGTCATCTGTCCTCAACATTTTCTTATATAAGGAATTGGTAAGAGTTGATATTGCTGAAGAGACTATATATTGAGAATTACACTTCAGTACACGATGTGCCTTGTGGAACACTGGAAGTCTGGGATCGGACACCTTTCCGCCCAATTGTGCGAAATCTTCATCCGTAAATTTTCTGCCTGGTGATCTTCAATATTTTCTGGTATGCTGTACGCATAAGCAGGATTATTCCTTCTACTCATAGATTCTCTCCCGATTCTTTTTCCAATTTAATGCCCGGTTTGGTTTCATGAAGTAGTCAGTAGTGGATCTCTGCACCTGTATTTTCTAATATTTGTCCTTTTTTTGATTACTGAATTGTTTCGCTCTTATCTTTGCCTGCTCTACACACAGTGTTGATTTTTTCACTTTTCCCTTAAATGAACTAATAGGACAGATAAAAGGGACATGTTGTTCATCTTATATGAAATCATTTCTGACTATATAGGTCAGCTATTCTTCTAAGGAAGAAACAGAGGCCAAATAATAAAAAAAATCGAAAGATAACGCGTCTGCATTTCAGGAGGTGTGCACAGGATGTCTTCCTGTGTGGTCTAATGTTTCTAACAGTGACTGGAGGGAGATGCATACGAATGAAATCAGAAATATCCGGAATAAATTATAATGATGTAACAGATCTCTATGAATCCATATGAGAATCATTCCCGATTACATATCGTTGTATTAATGCATTCAATGCGAGAATCCTTATAATACATGTCTGCACCCTCATTTTTTCCCTCATTTCTTTTAACAAAGAGTAGAAAAAATACAAAAGAACAGGAAGGGAAGGTAACAGTGGTGAATGGCGACAAATGAATTAAAACATCGTTTTTGATGTCAGTAAAACAGAGATTAAAAAGGAAGTCACATGTCCCTCCTAATATCAACCTCGAAAGAGAAGATAAAATATGTGGACAATGAACAGCACGGAGCCTGAACGGAAGTGAAAACAGAAACAACCAGTGTCACTCACATGAGAGATGGCATATAATAATTCCACTGATAACCCCTCATAGAAATCCTTCCTGAATTCTCCTGATTCGTACTTTTCAAGACACCAGAATTCTGCTTTTTAGAAGCTAATAAAATGCGACCAGTAAGTCTCCTTTAGGTAGACATGAAACATTCTCCTGATCACCTTCAGGAATGTATACGTCAGAGAACAGACAGAGACACCTGTTTTCATGAGAAGAATAAATTATATAGCCTTTTTTAGCTTCGGATACCATACTCTGATTCAGAGAGACGTATTCGAGATAAGTGATGAGGCATTCATGTATCTCTATAGGTCTGAAAAATTCACAAGATATCCAGGACTACCACAAGATGGGGCTTCCACACTTATAATTATACATACCACAAAAACGGCTTTATAACCACCATATTAAAGTAAAAATAGAAGAAAGGATTTACTCAAGGCAAGATACCATGATACGATACAGAACACAGTGGAAATGTGATGTAGATAGTACGATAGGAAAGAAAACTGGACTAATTGTTCAGATTACAAACAGCTTATAGGACTCACGATCCCCCGTCAGTGACGGTGAAGGCTTCCTATCATTTTTACATAGCATCCAGTAATCATCATTTATTGTGTCGGAGCAAGATACCGAGAACTTGTCTCACATGTATTTTTCCACGCCTTAGATACAATCCTTAAAACAAGGCTTATTGATACCGTTGAATGTTTCTCCATATTCGGATACTCTCAGAAGCACATAAAGATATCCTATGACGCCTAACAGAAGGAGTCCATAAAGTTCAGTGAGGAGAACTGTCAATGGGATGCCTACTAATGGCAGTAAGACTTCCAGTGTGAATGCAACGAGTATTGGTAAAGGGAGCATCAGACGATATACTTCCATCCCCATTAGTCAGTACTGACTCCTACTAATATGCGGACGGTGTTTACCCCTCTTTACGGAATTGTATGCCTTATGTGATAAGGACGCTGCGGGATGATGTAGTATCCTTCAACATGTATGTATTATTTATGCCGCCGTGATCTTATTTGATGGCACACGGAATTGATGACAGCGTGGTACTGCTTGAGCATTATAGTACGGATTCCCCAAACTGCTCGCGATGATTCCGGATTTTGAGTATTGCGATACTTACTAAGATTGGTCCTTTCAGTTGTTGAAGTACCGTATGGATTTTCCGCAATTCCCCTTTCAGTTTCAGGAGATATTTTGCTTGACGTTTTACACCGGTGTCGAAAGTTTTATTCCTCATTGATAAAGTTTCTTGGACAGGCACACTTAATTCTCTATGATATTTTATGATAATGCTGATTCCGGTAGTTAGAACTCTCTGTTTTATGTATCTAATCTTTTGAAGAATCCGTTGTAGAATTGCCATATTATGTGTAATCATAACGATTTGTATGTTTCGTATGTCGTGTATAAAAGAATTACGCGGCTTTAGATCCCCTGATAATCCTTCTTTTGAGCTTTCACACATTATTGCTTCATTATCTGTGAGTTGCTGTATAGTGTGCGCCGGCCTGCACCTATCTAAAATATCCCAAGTAGGTGTGAGACTTCGTTTCTGAAAATCCTGTAACAAAGACTCTTTACAGGATCTGTCAATATTGCCTTTATTTCTCAGGATATATGTATAATCCCTTCCGAGAGAAGATCCTGAAACATATACTAATTTCAAGTGTTTCTGAACATGTGTCAATAATAGCCTAGTATTCCTGGGGCGCACAATGCCAGTAGTGTTATTGGTGGTGGTTATATGTTCATGGCCTGATGCCTCCATGGACAAATTATGAGCAGGAT